TGGATCCCATCCCTCCCACTGTTTGACTGAGCCCCACCCATCCTCAGTCCTAGCCCCACCCACTGTTTCACGTAGCCCCGCCCTTTCCACGCAACTCCAAGAAACTGCCTTCCACGGAGCGTTACTCGTGGTGGAAAATAAAAACACCGAAAGGGCTGCTGGTCCAGATTTCGAAAGAGCGGAGCTCACTTCAGCCCGGCCATGAATCTCCTCTGTTCCTGGCTGAATCCAGGGTGACCATTCCTGGGTCAAACTCTCCAGCTGCGGATGGGTGGGACAAAGGCAGGGCGTGACCTCCTTCGGTGGGACCTCCAGCCCACTCCTGTGACCTCCTTTCTCTTCCTAGGCGGACCTGGAGCCCTACAGCTTCCTCCTCTTCTGGCCCTTCAGCATCGCCACCGTCTTTTACGTCTTCAAGATCATCCCCGAAACTAAGGATAGAAGCTTCTTGGAGACCAGGAAGCTGATGTCCCTCCATCAGGGCCAGCAGTCCTAACGGTGGACTCGGGACCCTCTCTGTGGGCATCTCAGCTGCTTCCGGCCAGGGAAGATGGACGCGTGAGACGCCCCCTTAGTTTCGGGGCAGGCAGCGCCCCCGTCCCCACCTCCAGCCCCCCAAGCGTCGAGCCGTGGAGGTGGCTCCTTGACCAGAAGGCTTGACTTCTCGCCAGGTTGAGGGGCACCAAGTGATCGCCGGGCTGCTGTAAGGTTCAGACCTCCTCTGATGGCCGAGACGTTTCATGGAAGAGCGGGCGACAGTTTGGGGGGACGTCGCTCTGGTCCCCCCAGACCGGCCAGCCCCTCAGCAGCGTCCTGGAGGGATCAAAACCACTTTTTGCAAACTTCTCTAGAACCTCCTCGTTGGCTTTTCCCCTTTCCGTGTCTAAGCCTTGCTTCTTCTTGATGACCCAAGCTCCAACCGCTGTTTGCTTGCTTCTAAAATGATATTATTTTGAAAAAATATTACATTTTGGTGAATAACCCTGCCCGTCGCACGTTCATTTATTTGGGTGGGGTGGGGAGAGTCTCGGCAGGAGGGTGGAAGTGGGAACGAAGATTTGGGCGTAGAAGTTGGAGTGGGAACGAAGAATCGGGAGGCTCGGAAAACACCAGGAATCAACCTTTCATTCGTGCCTTTAATTTACCTGGAGAGATGAGTATTAAATATAATTAACTCAGGTTTTCTGAGTGGGAAAGGCTTTCTGAGCTGTGCATCTGGGTAGTTTTTCTCTTGAAACTGCCCAGAACGAGGAAATGCAGATTTTTAACCGCCAATTGGATTCCCTCCCTTTCCAAT